ATATTATTTATATTATATTGACCTTTCAGCCATGCCTGGCTAACAATACAGAAGTTACAATGACATAACACACATTCACTCATGTTACCGTATCCAATAACATACAACTGAACATTGGTCCGTACAAAGTAACTTGTGTTGGCTGTGTTTTAGTGGACTAGTATTTTGTAAAATACAGTTATATTACAATTTTGAAACAAGTTCTTAAACTTATTTTTCTTAAAACATAGAACAGTAAATAAAGAAGTTAAGCAAACAATTATCTCTTCTAGTTACGACCTATGTACTCGGTTGGTGCTTCACGTAGGTTTCCTAGCATTTAAAAATTTTGCATGTGAAGGATATGAAACAAAATTTGTTTAAAGTTTTATATATACATTTGAATAACTAAAAAACCATAAATTACTAGATCAATATCATAAAATCTCACTACAATTTATCATGCTTAGTAACTAAAATGTATTTTAGTCTAAAAAAATATGAAATTTCGAGCAGACTAAAGACACAACGTATCTCATTGAAAGCTTGGTTCAAAAGATAAAAATGGAGCTAGCCACATTAGAAAGGCTGAGAAAACCCATAGGTGGGACATTCTGAGCTTCTGATTCACTATTCATGTCATATATAGAAGTAAGTGTATATAAGGGAGCATTTCCTAAAATGGAAAGAGGTGGGCGGGGTGACAGTCTGTGATTTATTACATGAGCAATATCTTAACAAATAGAAAAGATAACACGTTCTTATTTTATATTATAGCTTGTCATTATCTAAAAGTTGAGTTTCTAATTTGCATGAAACTATAGACTTAGTATCTTGACTTCACAAACATCTTATTTGAACCAGTGCTGCATTCAACATACCATGTGACACACAAAAATTGATGTTTATGTGTTTTTTAATATTTATTTTTAAATTAAGAAATTGAGTAATGTATAGTACTAATATTTGAATTATAATCTACAGTTTGATACCAGAATTCTTGATATAAGTTAGTAATTCAATAAAATTTTGATGCAAACAAATAAGATGACATGGCTTTTCATCCCTAACCTTTCTCGAAACGGATAAGGCAGGTTAACCATCGAAATTTAGAACACAAACAATGCATTAGATCAGGTTTTTACAATTACTAAATAGACTGAACAATATAAATCTAATACAAACTTGTTACTTTACAGTGTACAAGCCTTTTGCAGGTAAGTAAAAAAACATTTGAGTATTCTAGTTTAACAGACTGAACTGTTTAAGTCATTAAAGCACATGTAACAGGTGTATGCTGTGCATTGCAAAAACTTAGGACTAATGGCTTAAAACAACAGGTTACAGTACTTTGTCCTGAATAGTTCTCTAGTTAAAGCTTCTTTGTGAACATATATTTTTTTTTTATACAAGACCCAAAAACGTTTTCTTTAAAAAAGATGAGATACAGTACTGCATAAATACTCTTAGCATGATGTAATTCAGAGCAGGTAAGGTACAAGATATTTAGTGAAAATATGATAATTTAAAATAAAGAGAAGAAAGAAAACTGGCAAGCTATTAGCAGCACATAAACAGTTCAAGTGATATGTTGACACATTATTAGAAAAGATATGTTTTTTGGCAGACCTAAAGTGAAAACAAAAATATTATTATTAGATAAGGACAAGCTCTTGGCATGATAAACAGTGACAGCAAAAAACATAAGTCATCAATAGAGAACAATGTTTAGCTGAGTAGAACACAATAAAGTGAAAATAAAAATAAGAATTATTGTTAAAGATGAAATATTTGTTGCAAAGACAGATACAGTGAAAAAGAAGAGGTAATCATACACAGTAAAGGACTAGCTGGTGACTGGAAAAAGTGTTTATAAATAAGACTTATTTGTAGAACATCAACAGCAGATGTGAAAATGTGAATGTGTTTTAATTCACATTAATATTCTGCTAAAATGCAATTATAGAACAAATTTCTCTCACAAAATAGAGTTAATTCTCTAAGTAGTTCTTATTGGCATTCCAGTAAAAACTAGAGGGGCTTTACAACAAAACATTTTTTATATGAACAAAATTAGTGTTAATACTGGAAAGATTATATTAATGATAAGAATGCCGATGATGCTCTAAAAACTATACCTCAAAATCAATCATGGTTAACAAATTTACTGCAAGGATTAATAATAATAGAAAAAAAAAAGTGTTTTGAAGTTACAGGCCACTGATGAAATGTGTTTTTTTTCCCTTCATGAAGTTTGTACTGCAAGGAGTAACATTAGAACCACAAATGCTCAA